GTATGGAGTTAAATTTAAGCAAATGTAAGCATATGTGCTTCTTCAGATCGTCTTCTCTGATATTACAATATAATATTAACGGTCATTCATTATCAACTGTAGATTCATGGTAAATAAAGCAAATGGTGTTTTAGGTTTTATTAAACGGTGGGCAAAAGAATTTTCTGATCCATATATAACAAAACTGTTATTTACGTATCTTGTTACGTATCAATATGCAATATACTCAGATAAAATAGAATCCGTGCAAAAACAATTTCTGCTATTTGGCTTACTAGGTTTACATTGGAATAGTGATTTTGTTTTGCCTTCTTATGCTAGCAGGCTAAAATTGATTAGATTGCCTACACTTAAAAGCAGACGTTTTATGTTGAACTCCATGTTTGTACTTAAAATATTAAATGGTAATATACCTTCAGATTTCCTAATCTCATCTATTAGAATTAATGTTCCCTTTAGATCTAGTAGATACTACCAATTATTATATACGGATTTCCACCGCACGAATTATTCAATGGGCGAACCTCTTAGTAAAATGTGTGTTGGCTTTAATTCTGTGTACTGTAATGTAGATTTTGATTTTGTAGATTTTATGAGTTTAGAAGTTATTAAATCTAGAATAATTTTATTTTTAAACAATTAACATACATGTTTTATTATTTGACAAACTAGCTAATGAATTAGATTCTGTAGCTGGTTTTCAATTTCCTACTGAATTCCCATTATGATGCGGATCATGATGTGTACGCGATCCCTCCGTAAAGGGAGGTCGCCGCCTCGGTCGGCAGGGGTGGGAATGTGAGGCGTGGGAATGTTCGAAAAAAAAAAGAATAGGCCTATTAGTAAATTAGATTTCAACATTATTTACCTGCGCAAATATCTGCAAGGTAGAGTAAATCATTATCTTGTTATATTTAGGGTTGGTAAACATAAAGTCCAACATCGAATCAATATTTGCCATTTTAATTGCTGTTCTATTTTGAAATATTGAACTACGTATAGTTTCAAAAGGATTACTGCGCGAGCGGGCTTTTCTTAAATCAACTTCATTAAGATTATCAAACACGTTTTTCGCATCAAGTATTCCCTCTAATATATGCGGCTCCACGAATTGTGTTTCACCTTCCAAAGTTCTCTTATGTGCGCCGTATTTTATAAAAGTCAAGAGGTGTTCTAGCGTGAATGGGAAAGCGTACGGGCTTCAAATCCAAGAAACTTCTTCTGGAATAAGGATTACTTCTGAACTTTTGTCCCACTTGTCACTCAAAGCTAGAAAGGTGCCCTGCTTTAAGCCTAAGCCTTTTCTACCATCTTGTTGAAATGCTACAATTGGTTCAAGTCGTCCTTGACTTTGCTTTTGCGGAATTTTGTTGATGGTCATTATGGATTTAAATTTATAAGATCTTTTCCTGGCAGAACATTTTATAAAATATATGGCCTCTCCTCAGCTTGGACAAACAATATTGTCAGCATATCTCTTGTCTATCTCATAGGAGGTTTTGCATGCATCGATGCTGCGTTTGCAATGGAATGATGCAGTTCATTATATTTACAACAAATGAAAGAAATAAAACGTTTAACATCATAATTTAATGGTCTCAGATGCAGAAAGATTAAAAAAAAGTTTTTCAAGGTCTTTCCTCCAAAAGACTCGAATTAGATACCTTTTTATAACCTCCTCCATGGAAAGTAGGGTTTATTAAATTTGCCATTCCGTTTGTAACACCTCTAAGTATTCGTCGTAGACCCCAAAAAGTATATTCAACCATGATCAAATTTGATTTAACCCTTAATAGCCTGGTGGTCCCTTCAGGAACCTCAAATTTAGAGACTTGTTTTTCAAAACTGTTCAATTTTTTGCGCAATCAATTCTGCAAATATTCTCTTTATAATGTATGCCATCTAGCGAAAATGAAAATCATATGCTTTTTGGTGCCGAACACCTGATTTTTGACGTTCATCAGAAAAACACACAAAAGCTTCAAAGTGAACAAATCGTGCTTTTTCAAATTGATTGAAATCAAAACTTTTGCTCCAAAAGAACCAAATAAAATTAATTTTTATTATTTGTACACTATATTCAAACCATGTAAGTATCTTTTTAGCAATATAAATTTTTTTTGTTTGTATTTTTCGTGTAAAAGTCAATCGGTCCTTCAAAGAACCAGTAGGCACTCATTAGAGAAGTTGTTGTTGTTGTAGCAGCTCATACATCCGTGTTCGTTCGGTTTCAATTTTCGGACTCAGTTCAATCAGGTTCTGCCTCTAAGTCCAGTCTCAAAAAGGACGCAACCTGTATGGGTTGTGTCCATAACGAGACTGGAGTTAGGTGAGTAGGCTTGGCTGGGCGGCGAAATAGGTGCAGCGTGTCATGTGGGCCTGTGCCACATGCTGGCAGATGTTCTGCACGTCGCCGTTAATCCGGGCCCAGTAGGAATTTAGGCGGCTGCACCATCCGGATCGTAATTGAGCCAAGACTACTCGGGTTTGTCGGGGCAGCTCTCGTTCTTCAGCTGCGACGGGAGTGGATGGTCTTCTAGCACTGTATTCACTCTATATCCTACAATGGCTTCAGCGACCGCATTAGAGTGAATACTATTCAATCCCGCTTAATAGGCCTGTTGATCTAGAGGCTCTCTCTTATACCTCTGTACCTCTCTCTCTAGATCATGAAGGTCTTGCCAAACGTGCCTGGGCGGACGTTGCCTATCCACAAGATGGTGATTTGGATGGCTTTAATGGCTATAACACCCAATCAGGTATTGCATTGACAGTATTTTTTATGCTGTCGCACCGGTAAGACCTTCGCCTCCTCATGTAAGTGATCGACAGGTGTCATGAGAAGGCACCCTGTTGCGGTTCTAAGGGCGGCATTCTGGCAGGACTGCACATTTTTCCACTGCGTAGCACTGACGTTGGCGGACCACACCGGAGCCGCATAGTTTACCACAGACCGGCCTATCGCGTTGTAAGAGGTCAACGAGGTTTCCTTATCAGCTCCCCAAGTACTGCCGGCCAGAGACTTGAGGACCTTGTTCCTACTTCTAATCTTGTCGCAGATAGCTATGGTATGCGCGGACGACTTAAAAAGGCTATCGAATGTGACCCCTAATACCTTGGGGTAGTTGGTGGTCGGAATAATAGCACCATCGACCTGCACATTCAAGGATAGCCCCATTTCCGCAGTCAGTGTGGCCGTCGACTTAGTGGCGGATATCTTCATATTCCTCACAGTGAAAAAGGCGGTAAGATCAACAAGATCAACAACGTACAATCATCTGCGTACATTATAATCTCTATGCCGTCTGGAGGGCGTGAATGTCAGAAAGGTAGAGGTTAAACAGTTCCGGAGATATCACCCCACCTTGGGGAACTCCCTGTTTAACTCTACGGATGCTCGACTTCTTGTTTCTGAATTCCACGTACGACTGGCGTCCACACATGTAGTTTACTATCCAACGTTTCAAACCTGGCCGGAGGGTGGTGCGCTCAATGTCCTCGGACAGTGTGGCATGATTGACTGTATCAAAGGCTTTTGATAAATCAAGTGCCACCATAACTGTTTTATCGCACGGCCTGTTCTGGTTGAGACCTCTACTGACATGTGTGGAAATGGCGTGTAAAGCTGTTGTTGTCCTATGCAATTTCCGGAATCCGTGTTGATGATCGGCTACTGGGAAACACTCTCTTATGCTGGGGAGGAGTAAAGCCTCAAGCGTCTTTGCTACTGGGGACAAAAGTGATATCGGCCTGTATGAATCACTTTTGCTGGCATCCTTGCCTGGCTTCAGTAGCGGGACCACCCTGCCCAATTTCCAGGCATCGGGAACTACTAGGGTGGCTAACGACAGATTGATAAGCTTTGTAAGATACTCAACTCCTGGTTCATCCAGTTGCTTCAACATCACCATTGAGATTCCGTCAGGACCAAGCGCTTTGGATGACTTTGCGCTTCTGATGACCTGTGCAACATCTGCCAACGTAAATTGTGGTTGTACCTCCTCGGCTGGAGGGGATCGTACACGGCGTAGGATCCTTCTCTTCGCCCTGTCACTCTCGGAGTGCTCTACAAACTTTCGGTTAAAATAACACGCGCACCTCTTCAGATCTGTCACTTCTACGCCGTTGAATGAGACAGATGTCCGATCGTCCTTTTTCCCAGGGTTCGAGAGCGACTTAACCGTTGCCCACAATTTACTCGTTCCGGTACCGATGTTGCAATGCTTCAGATGTTCTAACCACTTTTTCCGCTTATGCTCACCTACTAACATGTTTACCTCCAGAGTAAGTTCCCTGACTCTGGGGTTATTAGGGTTAGTACGGCGAAACTCATCTCGCTCGTTTGCTAATCCCGCTGCCTCTGCTGGGAAATTTGGTCTTATTTCAGGTATTCGACCAGCAGGTATATAGCGAGCGGCTGCAGCTTTGATGATGTCCCGGAAACACCTATCCGCTACCTGAACATCAGATGGGTTGGGCAGTTCTCTGAAGCGGCGATTGGTATACTCTCTGAATTCTTGCCAATTAGCTTTCCCGTGGTCAAGGAAAGTGCGGCGTTCAGAGTCAATGAAGTCGGGTGGTCTGTTGATGGCGATAATAATGGGGAGGTGGTCTGAGCCTAGAGAAATGACTGATTGCCAAGTTACGTCATTTGTCAGACCTGGGGACACGATGGATATGTCCGGAGAACTGTGGCAGTCTCCCCTTAATCTGGTGGGCGCGTCCTCATTCACTGTGCAAAACGTGGAGCTATCAATTTGCTCAGTCAGCGCCATGCCTCTCTGGTCATTACCTAGGACGGAATGCCATAATTCATGATGGGCATTGAAATCCCCTAGCACCAGACGGTTATTGCCTACCAGTAGTGAACTGATATTAGGCATATAACGTGGGGCACAGCTATTTAACGGCGGAATGTACACGTTGAGCACCTCTACCTCGGCGGTTCCACACTTGACCGCTACCCCCATACATTCCATGTACGGGTCACTAGAGTCAAGCTCAGGCGAGATAGGTCTTTACTGGACAGAGTGGTGCAAAAGGAACGCTAATCCTCCACCTCCACCTCTGGAGCGATCCTTCCTCAGTACGTTGTATCCATCACAACTTTGAAGCCTGCAGGTGGTACTCAGCTTCGTTTCCTGGGTCGCTGCGACCTTGATGTTCTTCCGACTCATAAAGCTTACAATTTCGTTGATCTTACCTCTGAGACCATCACAATTAAATTGGAGAAATGAAGCATTATCCGGAACCTGAACAGCAATGTGTGGCGTCAACTGCTGCGTAGATTGCTGTTGAGGAGATTGCGGGGGAGTCTCATATTGCGACGACGATGAGGACGCCGAAGATGAAGACTCACTGCGGTCTACATTGACGCAGCAGGAAGCAATGTAGTCTCTATCGCTATACTCCTATATCCGGTTTAGGCCGGAACAATTCCGGAAATGCACCCACTCCATGCATCCGTTGCATCTCACCGAAACCGATCTGTGGTGGATGCGATTACGACAAACGGAGCAGAACCAAGGTCCGGGGTTGGTCACGATCCCGGCTCGGACCAAGAGAATACGGAGCAAACATCCCGGGTAATGTTGCTCCCACATCAGAAAAATGGACGAACACGAACATGTATTTGCTGGGTTGGTGGCCCCTGGTCGGAGAAATATGCCTCCGAGTCAATCCGGTACATAGAACCGGCCGCCGTGGGATTGGAGATTGGATTAGAGAAGTGAAATGCGTTAGTGCTTTAGCGTCTTTTTCTAATTATACCCTCCACCTTGGAAAGGAGGGTATATTAACTTTGTCATTCCGTTTGTAACATCCTTAAATATTCGTCTTAGACCCCATAAAGTATATATATTCATAATCAGCATAAAATTCTAAGTCGATTTAACGATGTCCGTCTGTCTGTCCGTCTGTCTGTCTGTCTGTCTGTCTGTCTGTCTGTCTGTCCGTCTGTCTGTCTGTCTGTCTGTCTGTTGAAATCACGATACAGCCCACATTATTTGACGTAGAGCTCCAAAATTTAGCAGAGCTATTTGCATTGTGTCTAGGATGGTTGGTATTGAAAATCAGATATATCGGTCCACGTTCTGGTATAGTCCCCATATAACGGTACCTCCCGATATTCGGTATTTTGATGATTTATGCCACGTTTTTCACGGATTTGTCTTAAAATTGGTATTTGTAGGTCATAGCAGGTCCCTGAGCGTGTGGCAAAACATTGCATGTATGGGTCCAAAATTTGGTATAGCCCCCATATAACGGTACCTCCAGATATTCGGTAATTTGATGATTTTTGCAACATTTTTTCACGGATTTGTCTGAAAATCGGTATTTGTTGGTCATAATGGGTTCCAGCTCCGGTGGCGAAACATTGCATGTATGGGTCCATGATTTGGTATAGCCCTCATATAACGGTACCTCCCGATATTCGGTATTTTGATGGTTTTTGCCACATTTTTTCACTGATTTGCCTAAAAATTGGTATTTGTGGGTCATAATGGGTCCTAGTTCGTGTGGCGAAACATTTTAATTATAGGTCCACGTTTTGGTATAGCCCCCATATAACGGGACCTCCCGATATTCGGTAATTTAATGATTTTTGCCACATTTTTTTCACGGATTTGTCTGAAATTTGGTATTTGTTGGTCATAATTGGTTCCAGCTTCGGTGGCGAAACATTGCATGCACGGGTCCATTATTTGATATAGCCCCCATATAAAGATACCTCCCGATATTCGGTATTTTGATGGTTTTTGCCACATTTTTTCACTGATTTGTCTAAAAATTGGTATTTGTGGGCCATAATGGGTCCTAGTTCGTGTGGCGAAACATTGTAATTATAGGTCCACGTTTTGGTGTAGACCCCATATTACGGTACCTCCCCATAATCGGCATTTTAATGGTTTTTGCCACATTTCTTCTAATGTTTATTTTACCCTAAGGTGGAGGGTATTAAAAGTTTGGCCCGGCCGAACTTAATGTTTTTTTACTTGTTTTAGTGTAATTTTTTAATTTTTCATAGAACAATGCCACGTAAATACAAAGATTTTACCACGGCTGAATAGTTTGAAGTCAATGATTTTGAATGGTCAGTAAGTGAAATTGGCGATATATCAGATTTTGACGACGACGACGATCCCGATTTCAATGTAGTGACAAATGATGATGCGAATATCACTGATCAGTTGGAGGATGATGTGTTCGAAAATGTGAACGAATTAGATGCTGAACAAGTTGTGAGTGTGGAACCAACTGCTGATGAGAGTGTTCAAAATGAAGATATTGTTGTTACTGGAGATAGCAGACGCTGGCATCAAATTGCAACATTTTACAAAGATATCACAATTGACAAGGACTCTTCCGAGTTTAAAAAATGTATCTGGAAGAAAAACCATATGCAGAATCATGCAAGTTGGGTTCAGTTTGGCAGCGATTCTGAATTGACAACAGAAATAATGGTGCTAGATACACCTTTCAAATTTTTTTTTTCTTACTTTGTAAATGACGATATAATTTCTAATATTGTAGACCAAAGCAATTTGTACGCAATTCAAAACGATTCATCGAAACCTCTATATACAACGCCAGACGGAAGAAAACGCTTTTTTGGCATTACATATTTTATGTCCGTCTTCAAGTATCCAAGTATCAGGACGTATTGGGGTGAATTTGGCATACCGACTATTATGAATATCATGACGAGAAATCGATATGACAAGGTACGCCTGTTTTTGCATCTAAATGGCAAAAGTAAGATGCCACGTCCGTCAGCTCAAGAACCAGCTCCTTCACGTCGACGAGGATTGCGTCCACAAAACACTGATTCATCAAACATTGATCGTTTATATAAAATTCGTCCGCTTATTGATGCCCTAAATCGAAACTTTGACTCTGTTCCAAAAAGAAGTCGTTAGTGTGTGGATGAACAAATTTGTGCGACAAAAATTAAGCACTTTTTGAAACAATACTTGCCAGACAGGCCTCACCCGTGGGGCAATAAGTTATTTTTGATGTGTGACAATATGGGATTCTGCTATAATTTTGAAATTTATTCTGGCAATGAAGACCATGTTTTGGACAATGAACCAGACTTGGGAGCAGCAGCAAATGTTGTGGTGCGGCTTGCTCGTAGAGTTCCGCGTTTCAAGAACTACAGAATTTTCTTCGATAACTATTACACTACTATTCCTTTGTTCGCTTATTTACGCACCCAGGGAATCTATGGGCTTGAAACAGTTCGACGTAACCGAATTCCTGGCTGCAAATTGCCAGAAAAATTACCCAATCGAGGAGACTGTGAAGAATATATGACCAGTATTCATGGTATAGATGTAACTACTATAGCATGGAGGGACAACAAAGTTGTAAATATGGCATCGACTTTGCTTGGCATCAAGTAATTGAAACCGACAAATGCAAACGAAACTGATGACACGCCTACGGTTGCCAGGTATTTTATACTTTCAACAAATACTTACTGAATATAACTTTTTTATTTTCTTTAGATTTGACAAAAAAAGTGTACCGTAAATATTCAGTGCCCTGCGATAATCCACGAGTACAACAAGTACATGGGAGGTGTTGATGTTATGGATTCGTGCTTTGGTAGAAGCCGCATAATAATAAAGTCACGCAAATGGACAAATCGTCTTATATACCATATGATGGACATGGCCATGATAAATGCATGGATTTTATATAAACGCCAATTCTCTTCATCTCATCGTACAGATAAAATGCTGACTTTGCACGAATTTTTCGTAGACGTCAGCAAAGTTTTAGTAAAATCTGGCACACAATCCATAAGGAAAGGACGTCCAAGAAGCACTGGAGAATGTGAGACCCCTGAAAATGTGTCAAAACGAGTTCGGGTAGTAATGCCGCCTAGTGACGTGCGGTTTGATAATGTTGGCCACTTCCCGAAATACCTAACAACAGGCAAAACTCGTTGTAAAATGCCCAATTGCACATCTAGAACAACAGTGTATTGCATTAAATGTGAGGTAGAATTATGTTTCCAATAACCAAAAAACTTCTTTCTAGAATATCATACAAAACATTGAATAAATGAACTGAGTGCCTGGTGGTTCTTCAAAGAACCAACACACAAAACCTCCCCTAAAATGTCCAAAACTCAAAATTGTGAAAAGTCGTAGAACAATCTTTGTTAAGGGTCCTAAAATACAACATATAAAATTTTTTCATTGAGAAAGAAAAAGTCAGGCAAGGGTTAATGATGTCCACCTGTCTGTCTATTGAAATCACGATTTGGGATGAAATTTGATAAAGAGCTTTGAAAATTGGCACAACATTGTATTGTGTCTAGGATGTTTGGTATTGAAAATGATACCGGGATGTTTCAATAAGGCATTACATTGTGTACGCGGTAGAGCAAACCATTCACAAAGCAAGACTGCTCTATCTCCATAATCAATAAAGCTGTGAAGCGGGAATCCTTTATTAGGTAAGATTTATAGTATGCTATAACTATAAAACGTTGCAGTAAAGCTTAATTTCTCATATCAGTCCTGTCCATATCTATAAAGGCCAACATTTGTTTCAATTTCTCTTTTTAGAGTTAAGCATTTGAAATTTAATAATATGGAAATATTTTATATCAAATCAATAAAGAACCATTTGTTATTACAATAATTGAAAGTTTAAGTAATAATATAAAAATGTAGATATGAATAATCAATAAAAAATCCTCTTTAATATACATAAGTTATAATTAGTTGATTTAATTGTAAACCTACTAAAAATAAAAATGTTTTGTTACTTTTTCCTACTATAAATGTAAAAGTTTCATTTGATTTGCAAAAAGTTTAATTTCGGTTGCAAAAAGTTTCATTTTAATTGCAAAAGGTTTTATTTAATCTGAAAATGCTATGTATCAAACAATTTACACACAAAACTTCCTTTGTTGTGAACTATTTTTAACGCGGCTAGGCATAGACAGAGATAAAGCCGTTTAGGAAGAATTTCTTGAATATTCTCTTCTCCTTCGGCCGAAAACCCACCATCAGCCATTACAAAATGCACCCCTTCGCTAGTATGCTTGCGTATATAACTGTTGAAGGAATCTTGGTTTGATTCCAGGTAAACATCGCCATCATTATTTACTCCATAATAGGGACCAAATTATTCTGGAGATTCAGCAAAAATGTTGTCCAATTTAAAGTCATTTGGCCCTTTTAAGGGAAAACTAAAACCTTTAGCTCCCCAATATTTTTTATATAGAATGTATTCGGAAAATCCTCCACAGCTTATTATGTGAATAGAAAATAAATTGGATTAGTAAATTAGATTTCAACGTTATTTACCTTCAGCCTTCGAAAATAAACAGTATGGTACTGTACCGTAGTGTTCTGTACAGTTCCGAGGTGGAGTGGTACACTAAGATAATGTACCTTACCGGAGCACAATCCTGAAAAATATTTTAGTGATACTGTACCGGAGCACAACGATTATCGTACTGTACCGCAGTCGGAGCACTAAAAACGTAGTGTACCGCAGTTGGAGCACTACGAAGTCGTAGTGTTCCGCAGTCGGAGCACTACAAAATAGTAGTGTACCACATGGCGAATGTGCCGGTAGTGTACTTCGTTCAGGTTGAACGAAAGCATAACAAGTGGAGAAAGATGTAAATGTTTATAAGTGCGGTTGTAAGATTTAGAAGACTTTCCAAAAGAATTTTAGTTTTATTTAATTCTTTGGTTCCTCTTCTATTGAGCTTACGATCTCGTCACTTGGGTAAAAATGTTTTTTGTCATAGAAGTTATTTTTAAAATAACTTCTGGGGAGAATATCCCAGACAAAAAACAAGGGAACTGATGAAGATTGGTGGCTCTAAACCTACTAAAAATAAAAATGTTTTGTTATTTTTCCTACTATAAATGTAAAAGTTTCATTTGATTTGCAAAAAGTTTAATTTCGGTTGCAAAAAGTTTCATTTTAATTGCAAAAGGTTTCATTTAATCTGAAAATGCTATATATCAAACAATTTACACACAAAACTTCCTTTGTTGTGAACTATTTTTAACGCGGCTAGGCATAGACAGAGATAAAGCCGTTTAGGAAGAATTTCTTGAATATTCTCTTCTCCTTCGACCGAAAACCCACCATCAGCCATTACAAAATGCACCCCTTCGCTAGTATGCTTGCGTATATAACTGTTGAAGGAATCTTGGTTTGATTCCAGGTAAACATCGCCATCATTATTTACTCCATAATAGGGACCAAATTATTCTGGAGATTGTCCATTCTGGAGATTGTCCAATGTTGTCCAATTTAAAGTCATTTGGCCCTTTTAAGGGAAAACTAAAACCTTTAGCTCCCCAATATTTTTTATATAGAATGTATTCGGAAAATCCTCCACAGCTTATTATGTGAATAGAAAATAAATTGGATTAGTAAATTAGATTTCAACGTTATTTACCTTCAGCCTTCGAAAATAAACAGTATGGTACTGTACCGTAGTGTTCTGTACCGTTCCGAGGTGGAGTGGTACACTAAGATAATGTACCTTACCGGAGCACAATCCTTAAAAATATTTTAGTGATACTGTACCGGAGCACAACGATTATCGTACTGTACCGCAGTCGGAGCACTAAAAACGTAGTGTACCGCAGTTGGAGCACTACGAAGTCGTAGTGTTCCGCAGTCGGAGCACTACAAAATAGTAGTGTACCACATGGCGAATGTGCCGGTAGTGTACCACAAAAAATTAGATGTTTGATGTTTTTGATAATGCAAAAAAAACTAATAAAATTCAATATTATGGAAATATAAGCTGAATTTATTTTATTTGTCATTAATGTTTGGATTTGTTGCGAAATTGAAGAAAGTAGGAAAATATGGGGATTTTCCGCGAAAAAGGGTATTTAAGTCGTTGCATTGTAATGGGTTATTATGCAAATAATGTACCTGTTATTTTGTGGTACCGAAAAAACAATGAATGTAGATGTGAAAAACGGTATCCCGAACAAACAAGCAACACTGTTCTAAAAACTAAAAATATTTTATTTATGATTTAAATTTTTTAATGTGGTGCATATGGTACACTACGATTTTTTAATGCTCCGATTGCGGAACACTACGTTTTTTTAGTGCTCCGGCTCCGGTGCACTACGATTTGCATACCACAAGTTGTTTTCATTTATTCAATATTTATCTTCATTTTAAATCTGTTGAATAGCGGGAAAAATGAATGAAATGCCTAGATTTTCTTACAAAAATGTGATCTAAACAGTCCCACAATTTACGCGTCTTCCAATCATTGATTTTGAAAATAATTTATTTTTATTTTTGTGTACTGTTTATTTTCGAATGCTGTTTACCTGTAAATCATTATCTTGTATTAGTGGAAGGTCTGTGTTGGCAAACAAAGTCAAACACCGAATCAATATGAAAGTTAGATATTTATTGGTGCAGAAAATCTGAATTTCATTATTTTTATTGCTAATATATATAAACTACAGGAGATATCAACACATTTGGCACCATTTTGGAAAGGCAAGAGTTTAGGCTAAAATGTAGTAGGTCGATTTTTTATACAATAAGGGGTCCAATTTCGATTTTTAGTTTTTTTCAAAAAATTGCGGTACAAAATACTTTTATTACTCCGGAACCGGTTCAAACAACACCATCATATAATCACTTGTTGGATAGGTATTTCCTTTCAAATGAAACCCACTTATTTAGAACCGGATAAAACCCCGATTTTGTGTCTGAACTTTCGGGTGGAATAACCGGGTACTTCCCTCATGAAAAATTACTTTGCCGTAACCGAGTTACAATCCGAGCGTAGCCCCGAAACTAAACTTAAGCCACACTTTCATCTTATATTACGGCCTGACTCATATAATAGATAGGTAATCTGAAAACTTGGTATTTAATAAAAAATATATTTTTATTCATTATATTACATTTATTTAATTTTATCTATTAAAAATAAAGTGTTTAAGGTCATCCCGATACAAAACCTTATCATCCACTCTTCTACTGTGCTCCTCCACCTGACATGTGTTGGTCCATTTCCAAATTAATCTTCTCGCAAAAGTGTTACGAAATGAAGCATACAGAATATTGTGCACCTCGGTTGGCATTTGATCTTTATAGTAAGATACTTTTTTCATTTTATCTACGTAATATAACACGTTCCGTGACTTGGACATCTTTGATGAAAAATTGTGACATATCTCACACAGTAATAATAAACCACCAGGTACGAAAAATTTGCTATTCTCGTTATTTAAAGAAATACCTAGGCGAGAAGAATTATCTTTTAATGTGTAATGTCGCATTTCCATAAAAAAGTTTTCTAGTTCTCTCAGCTTAAACAATTTTTTGCTGCGAACTATGAGCACATTGCCTTCTTTATACGGTTTATTCACACTTTTAGCAAACTTTTCACACATTTTAGAACGTTCACTTAAAGGTAACCTACGTATATCTTTTCCTCCCAAAAGAATGCCGTCAATAATATGAAGGCAACAAATTCTTGTTTGTGTTCGACCTTCCCCGCTGTATTCAAACACTAATTCTCCATAAAAAAGTGATTTGGGAGATATCTCAAACATATGGTCAACTGGTTCCCATTTCCGCATATCAGTATACCGCAATAATTTGCCCCTGGTCGTACAAATAAAGAAACTACTAGCATTTGCGTTTGTTTCTCTTCTTCCTACTGGTACAAAAAACCAGTCATACACACTGTCAATTTTTTTGCATAAATCATCTATGGACAAAATTTCGTCTGACGATGAGTGAAAAAAGGCTTTATCATCAAACCAGTCGCAAAGAAACTCCTCAACAAACTTTTCAATGGACTTATTTTCTGGAGCTTGTCTTAATTTATCCGGCAAATTCCACAAATCAAGACATTTCCTTCGGCACTCTGATTGTCTCATTTCTTTAAGCTGTGTATTGTTACAAAATGCGGTAATTTTTCTTAACCCCAGAATTTGATTTTTTCCAATTGCATCATTCGATTTCTTAATGTAATCGAAGAAATCTGTATCAGCTCTTATAAGATCCAAATCAACAATTTCGAGTACATCTTCATCATTGTTCTGATTCAAAATGTTATTGATGTGATTTAAATAATGGCTAATCGTATGTGTATCATTTTTTTTCCACTGACAGACAAGGTATCTCTCGGAATTCGCCGGGCGACTGCTGTTTGGTTTAATAATTGAAATACGTTCAAAGCATTTGTACATTAAATATATCAGGCCTACACTAAATGGTGTAAATATGTCAAACAATTTACACACAAAACTTCCTTTGTTGCGAAGTATTTTTAGCGCTGTTAGGCATTGACAAAGATAAAGCTGTTTAGAAAGTATTTCTTGAATATTCTCTTCTCCTTCGACCGAAAACCCACCATCAGCCATTACAAAATGCACCCCTTCGCTAGTATGCTTGCGTATATAACTATTGAAAGAATCTTGGTTTGATTCCACGTAAACATCGCCATCATTATTTACTCCATAATAGGGATCGAATGATTCGGGAGATCCAGCAAAAAATTTGTCCAATTTAAAGTCATTTGGCCCTTTTAACGTAAAACCAAAACCTTTAGCTTCCCATGATTTTCTATATAGAATGTATTCGGAAAATCCTCCAGGGCCTATTATGTGAATAGAAAATAATTTAGGATAGGCCTATTAGTAAATTAGATTTCAGCATTATTTACCTGCGCAAATATCTGCAAAGTAGAGTAAATCATTGTCTTGTATTAGCGTAAGGCCTGTGCTATCTTTAGGGTTGGTAAACATAAAGTCCAACATCGAATCAATATTTGCCATTTTAACTGCTGCTCTATTTTGAAATATTGAACTACGTATAGTTTCAAAAGGATTACTGCGCGAGCGGGCTCTTCTTAAATCAACTTCATTAAGATTATCAAACACGTTTTTCGCATCAAGTATTCCCTCTAATATATCCGGCTCCACGAATTGTGTTTCACCTTCCAAAGTTCTCTTATGTGCGCCGTATTTTATAAAAGTCAAGAGGTGTTCTAGCGTGAATGGGAAAGCGCACGGGCTTGAAATCCAAGAAACTTCTTCAGGAATAAGGATTTCTTCTGAACTTATGTCCCACTTGTCACTCAAAGCTAGAAAGGTGCCCTGCTTTAAGCCTAAGCCTTTTCTACCATCTTGTTGAAATGCTACTATTGGTTCAAGTCGACCTTGACTTTGCTTTCCAAGACCTTTGTCCGTTTCATAACCCATCTTTTTCATCATTTCCATGGCTTTATTTGAATAGCTTCGTGACCATTCTGTTTTCATTTTTTTGGGAGGACTTTCGTACAAGTCTGTTTCAATGTTTTCCTCCATTTTGTGGTTCTTTTTATTAAATGAAACTGATACAGTTGAAAATCAAGACTAAGGCAGCAACGATACAATGTTGAACCCTTTTCGACTATTTGTTTTTTTTTTAATACTATTGACAATAAATTGGTTTTATAGATATTAGCGGGTGTATGTATTGGAGCTAACAAACAGTAGATTGATGCTATCGATAGTTTTGATATTTTTACTCCTGTATATTGTTTGATAGTTTTTACAACCCTAATATTAGTGATCTATAGTGGAATTCTCTAACTAATTTTTTAGTTACCGACAAAAGTCGGTCAACAAATGAATTAAAGTGAGAATACAAAAAACGCTTTTCTGACTGGCTTAAATCGTCGACTGGCTTCTTCGAAAATAACAAAGGAGTCTAGAGCCAAAATCGAACTAAGCCAACCTAAAACTCCTTTGTTCCTCTACGAAGCAGCCAGCCGTTTACTTAAGCCAGTCAAAAAAGCGTTTTATGTATTCTCACCTTTAAGGTGATGGTACAAAAGCAGCTTGGCATCATAGCTAGGCATATTAATTAATAATAATAATTAACTGTCAAAGCAATCTTGGAATTGAATATGTTGAATGAAAAGTTATTTAAATTTGCAAAAATTGTTGAAAAACTCGAATTATAGTAACCTTCAAATGTAGTCGTATAAGAAAACAAATATATATCTACTTGTATTTGATAGAACATTTAATTTTTTTTTTGACATATCAATGTTCCCAAGCGTTGATGCATCTACCTGTATTCTTCTACCATGATTCCACTACAGAACTGCAAGTTTTTACTACGATAATCGATTTTCCGTGTACGATATCGAAAGATATTTCAAAACTAGTAGATTCAATGTAGAGCTATGTTCTCATTGCACTTTCAATCATATTAGTTGTGTTCCAGTACTTTTTTAGTAGTAAAACTAGCAGAAGAGAGAACAGTTCGAATTGTCATTCTCATTTAGGTTTGCTCAAAAAATAAGGGAACGGAAAATTAGCAGAAATGCGATAAAATGTCAAAATTCAAAATTCCAAAAGTAAACAGCCTAAATCGGACTGGTGAAACCCTACTGAAAAGAGCGCCAACATTTAAAAAATGAGTATTGAAGACGATAAGTTAAAATTAATAATTTATAATAATAATTAATAATCTGATTCCTCATTCAGCCAGTCCTCTTCACTGCTGGAATCATCCAAAAGTGAATACATCAGTTGCTCCATATTTTCTCTTTTTGTTTTTTGCACGACAAATATTAGTTTTTCCTTTAGTTTTCAAGTTGATCATTTTCTTAATTGAAATGTATCAATACATTTTTCAACCTTGTTAGCCCTGCCAATGAAATGTCAAATTTACAATATGCACATTTCTGCTCGGCCAAATTCATGTAGCTAAAACGAGCAGAAATGTGCACCACTCAGCGCCATTTTTTTCTCGAGAGAGCTGCAAGTTTTGCTAGTTTTTTGAGTACGGGAACGCGTTGTAGCAGAATTAGTGCTAATTGGTACTAATTTGCAGGTTCTGGAACACAACTATTGTTCGCTCTCAGAATTAGGTACACGAATTAACCCGTTCATACGGCACGATTCGTAATTCATAGTAAAATAATTGCTTCTATCAAAAATTTTGTTTGTTGACTCTCAGAACAACGAAAAAAGATGTCCCATCCGTAACAAATGAGAGCATTTATCGAAAAAATAAGTTATGACATTTCAAAATTGAAAATAGAAACATTTAATAAAATTTTTAAAAAAATTGTCAAATAATAAAACATGTATGTTAATTGTTTAAAAATAAAATTATTCTAGAATTAATAACTTCTAAACTCATACCAAAATCTTCATTACAGTACACAGAATTAAAGTTAACACACATTTTACTAAGAGGTTCGCCCATTGAATAATTCGTATGGTGAAAATCAGTATATAATAATTGGTAGTATCTACTAGATCTAAACGGAACATTAATTCTAATAAATGAGATTAGGTAATCTGAAGGTATATTACCATTTAATAGTTTTAGTACAAACATGGAGTTCAACATAATACGTCTGCTTTTACGTGTAGGCAATCTAATTAATTTTAGCCTGCTAGCATAAGAAGGCAAAACAAAATCACTATTCCAATGTAAACCTCGTAAGGCAAATAGCAGAAATTGTTTTTACACGGATTCTATTTTATCTGAGTATATTGCGTATTGAGGATCCCATACAACAGAACCGTATTCCAATATAGATCTAACAAGAGACGTAAATAACTGTTTTGTTATATATGGATCAGAAAATTCTTTTGCCCACCGTTTAATGAAACCTAAAACACCATTCGCTTTATTTACCATTATTATTACATGGCTATTAAAATTTAGTTTTGGATCCATCAAGAGGCATAGATCGACGAATGAATTTACAGTTGATAATGAATGACCGTTAATATTATATTGTAATATCAGAGAAGAAGATCTGGAAAAGCACATATGCTTACATTTGCTTAAATTTAACTCCATACAATTTAACCTGCACCATTTAAAGAGACTATCTAAATCGTTATGAAGTAAACTAGCTCGTTTATCACAATTATGGGAAATGAATAATTTAACATCATCTGCGTACATTAACAATTTCGAGTAATTTATGGAATTAGGTAAATCGTTGATAAGTAAAAGAAAGAGGACCGGTCCAAGGTGACTTCCTTGCGGAACACCCGATGGAACGTTAATTGTTTTGGATAGATACCCTTCAAACAAAACTAGTTGTGATCTATCTTATAAGTAAGATGATATCCATTTGACTAAGTTTGTGTTGAAACCCATATAATTTAATTTATATATTAGGAGTTCATGGTTAACCCCATCAAAAGCTTTACTAAAATCAGTATAAATTGTATAAGTTTGTTTACGCTGAACAAATCCTTTTATTACTGTTGACGTAAATTGTATAAGATTTGTTTTAGTTGAAAGACCACTACGAAAACCATGCTGATATTGACTCAATATAGATTGAATTTTCTGTGAATTTACTGCAGTAATTAATTTTTCGAACAATTTTGGAATGGCACTTAATTTTGCAATTCCTCTATAATTTGACACATTAGTAAGACTACCAGACTTATGTGAAGATATGATATAAGATTTTTCCCAGAAAGTAGGAATGTGACCAAATTTAAGTGAATAATTAAACAATATAGTTAACGGAAGTGCTAATGCTTCTGAACAATATTTAAGAATTATATTAGGTATGCCATCCGTTCCTGGACATTTAATCGATTTTAAACTACGCAGACTATTGGACACATCCTGACGTTGTAGAAAAGGAATACAAATTTGATCAGCCTGTGATAACTTATAGGGATACGAATCTTTAATTTGGCAAGATGTACTGGAATAGGCTGGGACAAAAAAATCTGCGAAACATTCAGCAATATCTGTGCCTGTGACAAATTCCTTATTGTTATATTTCAATACTGAGGTCCTTGAGGAGACTTTTCGTTTTAGATTAACAAAATCATAAAAAGATTTAGGATTGGATTTAAAATTATTTTTAATCTTGTCTAGGTAAAGATTATACAATCTTCGAGACTTTAAAGTATATTTAGACCTAGCAACAGAGTAATTAGTGTAGTTGTTAAGCCTGATTTTTTATATTTACGAAAAAGCTTATTTTTAGAATTTTTAAACTTGATAACTCAGGGGTTATACATAGATATTTATTTGAATTTTTAAGTCTAGTGGTTGGTACACATTCCAGTTTAAATCTATTTAAAATATCATAAAATTTATCAATTACATATTCTAAATCTTAATAGCTGTTACACAATCACACAGATGCCCAATTTACGGAGGAAATGAAGGAAATGAATTTATTAAGTTTTCGAAAATTAGTTTTTTTTGTAAGTAAGGACATTTTTAAATGAGTCGGACTGACTTTCTTCAATTACATAACTGTGGGTCATGGAGGTATATGAAGTTGAATGGTATATATCTTCAGGAGAGCATATTGGAGGAATTCTGAATTTATCAAAATGCTGTGTTATATTTACAAACGCCAAATCAAGAATTTTGCCGTGGGAATTTTTCACACTGTTTATTTGATAAAGATTTAAGTCACACAAACTATTTATAACATCAAATGTATACTGGGTACTGTTCATTTCGGATGGTAAAGGAATCAAAGCTTCAGAATCTGGCATTGGAAGCCACCTAATGGTTTAGATCAATTAAATTAGTGGTATATTTGGTATCAACTGCAATAAGTACGCCACCACCTTTTTTACAAACACGATCTGCTCTAAATATTTGATATTTTGAACATAAAACTTCACTATTTAATGTAGATATTCTTAACCAAGTTTCGGAGAAACCCAATACATTATAATTGAAACCAATGCTATCAGTATATAAACTGGTTAATTTTGTATTAAGCCCCCTTACATTCTGATAGCACATAGAAAATGAGTCATTTAGTTTTTTGGCACCGAATCTGAGCTAAATTATCGGATCACTCTAAAAATTCTTTAATAAATGCCCCAGCAGGCCAAAATTCTTTTAAAATCAACTGTACAAAAATATTTTCAGGCACAACGATTTTGAAAGAAGATCTACTTTCAGAAAATGCAGATCCGAGCTTATAACATCTCAAAAAGTAATCTTCCTTAATTTTTGATTTTATATAATAGCTTAAGTCATCGGCTATTGTTTCTGGTGCAAACCTTGTTGCAAATATCATTTTCATGGCGGGGGCCATAGATAATGATCTTTGGACAGGTTGAGTTTTGCCAGTAGCAGTCTCGGGACGATCACTAGTGATAAGTGAAGGAAGTGGTAATTCATGTCTGCCACGAGTAGATTGTGAGGTTTTCAGCATTTTGATATATTCAGATTGTGAGGTTTTCTTAGAAACCTCACTATCAATACTCATAACATCAGGATTATTTACCCCTTTACCTATACCGCTGTTATCTACCGGAACTGGGTCTGTAACAACACTGGCATACGACTGTTCACGTCCAGTCTCAGTTGTATCAGTGGTATTAACTGAAACCGGTTGTGGAACAGTGTTCTCCACAGAAACTATTGCTTTGTGACTAGGCATTTTCTTAGTTGGTGCCTTTTTCGCAGCCTTTTGCGTTTCTGGCCAGAAACTGGCGGTGACGACACAAACTCATCTATTTCTTAGTATTT